ACCCTCAAAAAGCTCTTGCACAGGAACACCAAAGACAAATACAAAAATGTTCTTATTGACACTATTTGTAATAGCAAATATCTGGAAACAACCCACATGCCCATAACAATAAAATAGATAATAAGTCACATGGTGCTATGCAGCAATCAAAATGATTGAATATACCCACCTCATTACATAAGTGGATCTCAAAATCCTAATAATGAGTGAAAAAAACAATCGCAAAAGCATACAGAAGAGTCCATGTATTTAAGTTTCACAAACAGGTCAACCTAAGCAATATGTATTTTGGTATCTCTTTTTTTATCCTCACCCGAGAATATGTTTTATTAATTTTAGAGAGAGAGGAAAGAGGAGAGAAAGAAAAAAATCTGTTGCCTCCTGTTCATTCCCCAGCTAGGAATCGAACCCAGAACCCTTTAGTGTCTGGAATGATGCTCCAACCAACCAAACCACCTGGCCAGGGCTGTATTTTTGTATTTCTTTATATGACAAACTATCAAGAAAAGCACGGAACTGGTGAACACATAATCAGGATGGGAGTTGTCCCCAGGGTAGGGCCCCTTTGCATTTTTTAAACTGGTATGGGCCCATGATATTTCATTTTATTGTCTTTCTTTTAACTTAACATATACACTGTAAACACATGCAGCCTTTAAGTTTTTAAAATAATTTTAAAACTAGCACAAACAGATAATGGCAGTGAGCTTTTTTCTCTCTGGAATTCTAGGAGCCAGCTGACCCCACGCCTGCCAGCTGGCCCAGAGGCAGAGGTGGACCTGCTAGCAGGAAAGGACCTTGGGGTCCTGACTGCACAGTCCAGCCCTGTGCAATTTTAGCCAAATTACTCCACTCATTTTTTTCTTCATCTAAAATGAGTGTGCAGCAAAATAATTAAAATGTACATGGTAGGAACTCAGTGAATATTTGTTGAATGAGTGAGTCAATGATTTTCTAAAATCCCATGACAACTCCACCACTCATCCAAACGTATTCACTAGGGAGAGACTGTGGCTGCAGCTCCTAGCACAGCCCCCACCAACACACAAATGAATATCCCAGAATTTGAAGTGGCAAGTCAGAAAGTTCTCTGTTCTGTTCAATCCAAACTTTTGGTATTTTAATGTTACAGATTTTCTCTCCCAAATGTCAGTTTCTCTTTTATTTTTCCTTTTGTTGTCATAATGAGCATACATGTATTTTCGAGGAAATTTTACCAAATGGCACGTCTTGCATTTTGTAAACCACATACATACAAACCCCTTTCACTCCTTTGCCAAGGTCTGTCTCAGGACCCAATGTTTTTGCTTCTCTGACCCTTGACTCCTTACTCAAATGGCCAGTCCTGTGGCTACAGCCAGGGCAGGACGTTCCTGGGTTTAAAGGAAGGCTGCAAGGCAAGTGAGAAGAATCAAGCCTCGTCCAGCAAGGTTGGGACCTTACTTATTACAGTCACTAAACTGACCAACCTCACCAGCCTAGGGCATGCCAAATCAATTCCAAACCAACACCCCATTCTTGGCATCAACTCTGCCTGACTGAAACAGGAGAGGGAAGCTGGAATTTAGCAAGCCCCAGATTACAGAAATAGGATGGTGCCTTGACTAAGTGCAGAAGCATTACAGTCAAAAAGAACCTCTCTGAGACCTGTGTTCCTCGTCTGTAAAATGCAGCAATTAGTCCACCCAAGGGAGTCATCAAGTGGCTTACATGAAATAATATATGTAAAGACACTTGCAGATCGGCATTCAAAAAAGTTGCTAGATCCCCAAACCACTTCTGTTTGACTTTGGAAAGAATAATACAGCCTTTACAGTCAACCTGACTTTAATTGGGCATATCTGAAGCTAGTGCTACCGTGGTAGCGTAAGGAGTTCTGTAGGCCCCATTTACATTGCTGATTTACATTTACAAAACCGATTTACATTGGATTTACATTGCTGGCATGTGGGTCCACCCAAAGCCCTCAGAAAGGCCAATGCCAGCCATGCCAAGGGAGCACCCACACTCTGCACTATTGGGGCTGAATGTGCTGCATAAAAGAGCATGTGGGCTTCCATCTCCTGGGCTCACCTAGCACAAGGCATGATGGAAAACATGCCACAGGCTGGGCTGTGCATGAGGACCAGAGTCAGGACAAGCAGCGAGAATTGGGTGGTTAAAGTTTTATAGAGAATGTCTTGAGGCAAAACCGTGGCCTCCAACATTGTCAAGTCAGTGGGACCGATGACCATGGCAGGAAAAGACAGGAGGTTCTGCACAGAATCCAATGAAAGAGCTCTGGCCTCCAAAAAGTCTAAAGCCAAAAGGGTCAGCACCCTGGACAGTGACGTTCAAATTTATAACAGGTTTGTGCCATCCACCTTCTAGATCAGAATCAGCAAGCCTGGAAGACTGTCGCTGGTCCCTCCCCTGCTCCATGGAGGCCTCACAGAGCAATCACAGCACTTTCCATTACTGCCCACATACAGCCTCAGAATTCTTCCCAACATAGCATTCAAGTCTGAGCCAACTGCCTGCAGTGGTCCACCAGAGGAAGGCTATTGGTCACCCTGCATCTTTATGGAATTACTGATAAAAGCCAGTCTGGTTGAAAACTTACTTCAACAGTGTAGGTGTTTGAAGAGAGGAACACACACACTTTTTGGTTTGACTGGAGCTTCTGGGTGAGAGAGGAAAGGAGAAGAGTAGGAGAGAGTGTCTGCAGAATGAAACATCTGTTAACTAACCCACTTCCCTATCTCAGAGGTCAGACCATTCAGTGCCCTTGTCAGACTATTCAGTGCCCTTGTATTTCCCATTTCTACTTTGTCTTGAGCTAAAGTTTTTTGAAAACTCCACGTCCTCATATATAAGTTGGTTCATTCACACAAGGACAATTTCTCAGGGCTTCCTCTGTGCCGGGCCCCATGCCAAGTAACAAGCACACAGAAGTGAAGAGTACATAGTTCCCTCTTCTGGAGCTAACAGCCTGGAGTGGGAGTGCAGTGTTCATCAAAGATCAGCCCTCGGGAGTATGTTGGGATTGGCTGAGAGCAGGCCACGAGAAGGAGACATGTATCTATGAGAGCATGTAACAAAGGAGCCAGCTGCACAGGAAAGGGAGGAAGTTTGGAAGGCAGAGCTCACGGCACCATTCCTTGAGGACTTCTCTTGAGCTGAGTGGGGGTTAAGGGCATAATAAGAAGAAAACACAGATCTGAGCAGGTGTCACTCAGTCTGCAAGAATTACAGGAGCCCAGACAGGGTAGGCAGACTGGAGAGTTGATCCCTGCTTCCTGTGGTTAAGATTCCTACACCTCGAAGCCTTAGGGTGAACCAAGGCTTGAAGAGTTTCTGTAGGTCAGAGCAGAAGGGGAGCAAAGGTGCCAGGAGAAGTGAGGTGGGGAGGGCCCATAGACTGGGCCCCAGAATCCTCCAGCCACGGCCACAGCCACAGCTATCCCACAGGCCAGCTTCAGAGCAGACCCAACACTGGGGATGAGCCACCAACACAAACGGTTCTCAGAGGAAGGCTAGTTCCCTGAGAGATGCCCTGTGGGCTACTCAGGGCTGTGACATTGTCTCCAATTCCTCCCAGGGCCAGAAACTAAAAGGCAAGGGGAGGGAGAGGCCAGGTCCTGGACAGAGTCCAGTTCCAGTGCTCAGAGTCTCAGGCTGCCCTGTCCCCATCACCACCTCATGTTTATTTCAGTACAGTAACTGCTCCTTCAATTCCTCCTAGAAGTCTCCAAACAGCATATTTGCTCAAGAACTGAGGAAAACACTCCAGTCCTAAAGTAGGAGAGTATTTAGGCAAATGCAAACATATGCTGGTTTCTCTCCTTAGTTACATTCTTGGCAAAGGAATTATTTCACCAAGAGACAAAGTAGGACTTTCAAGGATGCACTCATTCCATCCTGTCCGCAGCTATGGGGCTGCCAACCCTCACCAGTCCACCATACCCTTCAAAGACACATGATGTGGGTGACCATGGCTATAAAAAGGTAGCAGGGGGATCCTTTGTGAGGAAACTACTCTGCATCCTGACTGTGGGGCCCCATTAATCTACACATGATAAAATTGCCCAAAAACGAATATACATACCCAAATGCATATAAACTGGGGAATATGAAAAAGGTCTATGGATAGTGTCAATGTCAAATCCTGCTTATGATATTGTATGACAGTTATGCACAATGTTGCTATTGTGGAACCTGGCTGAAGGCCACATGGGATCCCTCTGCATTATTTCTCATGATAGCAGGTGAATCTCTATCTTAAAATAAAGTTTAACAAAAAGAAAAACACATAACGTGGAAACCATCTTAGAACTAGGACTGGTCTGTTTTTACAGAGCAGCCATAAGAAAACCTAAAGCTATTTCTCCAAAGCCTATTTTTCTGGGTTTCTAACAAGCAAATTATACTTTTCTTCCTATGGCAGGTATTCAAAGAATCCATGTCCAGGCCTTCCCCTGTGTCCCCAGACTCATTATACCCCAGCTTTGCTCTATGACACTCTGGATATCCCTCCCCCTGACACTGGCCTGAGACCCTACAACTAAGAGCAGATCAGGCTGGAGAGAGGAAGGAGCTGGGAAGGCCAGGCAACCATCCGGTGTGACAGGCAGTCTTCAGAGAGGAGGCTTCCGAGAGGACCCATGCTCACTGGCTTCCCACACTGCCTGTGTGCATTCTTCAGATCCCTGCCAGCAGTTTATTAATATTTTATTGAAAACTCTAAGATGATTCAAATTTCAGCTGTCATGATAAGGTGGCGTTGCTAGGCAACTTTAGTGCCTGTCTATGGATCTGTTTTCACAGCTCTTCCCCAACTCACTGAGCTACAGGTTGGGCCCTACCACCTGAGACCCACTCAGCTCAGACCACCACCACCTTCTACACCTGCTGCAAAGCACTCAGCTGCCATGCACGATGGCCTGGCACTCAGGTCACCCAGCACCCAGCTGTGTGCCTCCATCAGAGCCCCAGAGCATCCCCGGCCCCCCTCAACTCACCATACTCACTGTCGTAGAACATCACAAACTTCTGCCAGTGCAGTTCTGTCACCAGCCTGAGCATGACGTCGTTGAGGCGTACAGGCGGTCTCGAGGCCAGCGTGTAGGCCTCACCATCAGGACTGGGGTTCAGGTGGCAGGCAGTGCGTGGTGACCCCCCTGGGTTGCGCTGGACAAAGAGGTGCGGGATGTGCATCGCATCTGTGAGGGACTGCAGAGCATTGGCAGATGCACAGCCAGTGGATGTGACCAAAGCCAAAATCCCCTGGGTCATGAGGTCACAGGCTGAAAAGAGAGGGGAGAGACAGGAAGGGGTCAGCATGGGGGTTATGCTGCACTGGCTGTGATCCACATAGCCCATGCCCAGCAGCTCACGCCTGGGCCCCAAGACATTCTGCCTCCCTCTAAGGACAAAGACCCTTGGCCAGGCCAGGCCAGTGGCTCTCAGATACACAGTCTCACTGATGCCCTCAGTGATCTTGCCAGCATGATGTCCTTGTGCCCATTCAATAGATAAGAAAACAAAGGCCAGGAGAGGCAAAATTATTTGCCCTTGGCTACTCAAGGGAGGGGTAGCAGAATAGGGATCCAGCCCATGTCTGCCTGAGACACTCATCAGCATTACTAAGTTAGCCATCCTGTTTCCTACTTGAGCTGTGAGCTCCTTAAGAGTCGAGAACTCATCTTTTTGATCTGCGTTTCCCCAAATCCAAGCCCAGATCAGGAAAATATGGTGTGCTCTTCAATTGTGGGCTGAAGTGACCTGATTGGGACTAAAGGGAGTTAACTACATCAGAAAATCAGGGAGACACTTACCCCAGAGAACCAGGTGGTTGGTAAAAAGAGAGAGACAGAATCCTCTGTCTTCTGGCCAAGTCCAGTTTATTCATATCATAAAAATACTAGGTTAAACCTGATGAAGCAGTTAGTTCCAGAAGCCCAGAAGTATTCAAAAGCCACTTGAAAATAACAAAGAAAGATGCTCCCTATTGAGGGCAGTTACCGCAACTCAGAGGATAGACACAAGGCAGCACTTGCAGCCCTTTCCGGGGCAGATGCACTGGCCTTTTGAAGTCATCCAGTGACCACAAGGGGCGCCTCTTATAGCCACACACCTACACCTTTTGGGGACATCAGACCAATTAACAGGAAGATACACCTCGCCATACTGGACCCCCCTGCACTAGTTCTGAAGCAACATTTATTAATAATGTTTTATGTGATGGCAAAAATGTGGGAAAGCAGCTGCAGTTTCAAAACAGAGCCTGTGAATGTCAGCAGGCCATCTGCTGCAGACGGCCGGCTTTTGAACAACTTTGACAATGCAGTTCTTTTGGTGGAGGGGCCTTGGTTTTATGTAATGCCTCAGGCGAGGCTGGGTGAAGGAGCCCAAGAGCAGGGGAGGCGCCCCCAAAGAACAAGGCGATGGGAAGCTGGGATGTGCAGGAAGGGGAAGACTACCTCCATGCTATCAAATAGCTGCTCCCCATGTGAGGACATTCACATTGCACACTCAGGACAGTAATTCAAAGGCCCACAGTTCTGCCTGCTGACCCTTTGGCCTCCACGCATGAGGCAAGGGGAGGGATGGTTAAAGAGACTCTCTAAAGTCTCTCTTGGGAATCATGCAGCCTCATCCAGGCTTTACACAGCAGAGTTCTTCCCATACAGAAATCCAATTGTAGTGGCTCCCAAAGAGCCTTGGGGATAGAGTCAAACCCCTTAGATTAGTCCTTCAGGACCCCCAAAGACGTGTGGCCTCACACTGCTCACATGCCCCTGCCCTGGCCCCTAGAACCTGCCATGTTTTCTGTTGCCTGTCAAACCTCACACTTACTTTGGTTTCAAGACAAAGTCTACATCCCCAGACTGGCAAGGGGCCCCTTATCCAGCACTCCCTCTGCAGCAGACACTTCACTACTCTTTGTCTCCTACATGACCACAAGCTCCAGGGGACAAGAGTCATCCCGTTCTCACCATCCTTCCCCAGACACACACCATGTTCAGCACACTGCAGTCAATGAAGGCTGATGCAAAAATACCATAAGCCTGGATGGTTTTGTGCCTTCTGGCCAATAATTCCACTTTGGGCACCTATCAAACTACGTAAATGGCTTCAGATCCAAAAACACTCAAAGGACACTTATCCATACTCTTGAAAAATTGCTAACAATCTAAAAGATACAAATAGGTGAATGATATGAAAGTGCTCCATTTGCTGAAAACATATGCAGTCTTTAAAACTGTTCACGAAGACACTACAATAACGTGGGAAAGCTCTCGTCATAAAAGTTATGTGAAAGTAATACACAAGTGTATGTATTTTATAATACCAGGTAAATAAACATCATGAGTGAAAAAAAGGCCAGAAGGAAATCCTGCAAAGTGTAAAAAGTGGCCACATTTTAAAAGAGACCTAGAAGTGGTTTTCCTTCTTTTCTGTATTTTGCTAAAATTTCATGTCTTGAACAGATAATTCCTTTAGCAAAGGAAAATAATGGATAAGTATGAAGCTATGTAAGAGGAGGGGCCCTTTTGGGAGAATTTTCTCTGTGTCAAATATTCTGTCGAGTACTTTATACACATGAATTCACATTATGCTCACAACATCTATATAGAGTAAGTGTCACTGCATCCCTTTTCCAAATATCAAAGTTCTAAGTCCACACAGCTGATAAGGGACAGTGCTGGACTGAGATGCCATCCAATCTGAAAACACTTCTGAGATATGGCTAAGTGACAAAACCAGGACACGGAACTGTACACTCACCAGGTTGAAAATCAGGTAAAAAGCACACCCACAAAAAAGGCAAGAGAAAGCACTCAAAGCTAAGATGCTGGATGAAAGGATTGCTCTTTCCTCTCTTGTATATACTCTCTTCAACAACAATGTATTGCACTTAAACTTTAAAAAATGTAAACTTACAAAATAAACTACACATCACTGGGGCATAAAGTTATGCAGGAACTCCAGCCCTGGTTCCAGCCCAGGGCACCAGTGAAAATGCCCTCACTGTGGCCATCATTGGGTCCCAGCTATCTGTTGCCCACCCTGCCCAGCTTCCTCTCAGATCATCACCTGACTTCTGATGGCAAACCCTGGCCCCACTCCAATACACTGTGTTCTAAAGTCACTGAACTTTTCTGAGCCTCAGTTTTCCCCTCTAAGCATGCACCTTACTCCTCTCATGGACTGTTCCTTACTTCCTGCCTAGTTCATACACACACTTAGCACACCCCTATTTGCAAACCCCTGCACTAAGCACTGGTCGGGGGAGGACAAAGAGAAGAATGACCAGGGGTCCCTCTTTGATCTACCAAAGAGACAGACCCCACAATTCAGCCTGCAGGAAAGGAGAGAGGAAAATCCCTGGGACCCAGAGGAGGGCAAACTCATGTGGGGTTTTCATCTGGGCCTCAAAAGAAGAGAAAGATTTAGACAGCAGAGATGGAGAGAGCAGTGTGATAAGGGTGCATTGTAGTATGATGAAACAGGGCCAGGCAGAAGGAACATGCTCAGGGAACAGACAAGTATGTAACTGGCCATCCTGCCCCAGCCCCGCTGGTAGCCAAAGACACCAGCTCCCTGGCCGTGCCTGGGTTCACAGGGACAGCAGAACTAGCTCTGGGATCTCATGGTTCCAGCCTGGGTTGCTCTGGTCAGCAGCCATGTGGCTGTGGCATGTCTCCTTTCTGAGCCTCTGGTTTCTATTAAATGAGGATAAAAGTCTCTACCCAGCAGAGCAATGAGAGCAGTAACTTAATGCAGACCACAAGTGCCAACCCCATGCTAGGCACAAGAAAGATGCTAAACAGATGTCAGTTTCCTGCTCCTCTCCCTGAGCACCCCTACCTCCCCATCAATGTCCCCACCCAAATCATGCCCAGGATCCCAAGAAACAGTAGTTACAACAGAGGGTGACCTCACCCCTGCAGCTGACAGCCCTCCCCTCGGCGGTGGGCACCACCGACTCATCCTCCTAAAGCCACCTGCAGCTGCATGCAAGCTCCTCAAGCCTCCGGCCTCAGCGATCAGGGTGGGTAATTAGGGCTGGAAGCCTCTCCCAGGGACTAATGGAGAGGCCCGATGCAAGTCAATTTCCAATCCGCTGTGAATGGCCTGCTAATTGGGGCACTGTTGAAATGATGGTTATTTAGAGGCTCCTAACATAAAAATAATAAGATCAAAATACATCAGATCAAAGCCAAATCAGCTATTAACTTAATCAAGGTTGCATGCTCATTCCCAGGACAGGACGTTACACAACTCACACCATGGTTGTGAAGAGAGATATTAAACACCAGTGTGGGGTCCACGGACTGTGTCTGAAGCTGGGCCCTGCCAAGGATACCACGTGGGACCTTGGGTGAGGGGCCGGCACTCTGTATCTTTTCTGTCCAGTAAAGACAATGGCACTCACTTCACAGGGCTATTGTGCACATCCTGTGAAATGTCTTTGTATGTGAAGAGCCATTCACATGGCCTCGCATGTAGTAGGAATGTAGAAGTCACCTCTCTAGCCCAGAGGTGTTTCTGCCGCTCACTAAAAGATAACAACCTTTGTTATAATTCATTGCCTCCAATATCATATGGTCATAAAGCTAATTTCTCTTGATTACAACAATGCAGGCAGATGAATTGATACAGGCTCCCTGAAAATGACTCATCAGCTGGGAAAGTAAGAAGCAGAGATGAATGTAATGAGCAGCCTCGAGCTCCCTTACCTGAGCTCGGTGGTCTAGTAGAGCAGAGGGTCACTCAACAGCTTCCCAGGAATCGGGAAGAAAGAGGCTGCTGCTCAGAGGTCAGGGTTGAGGCCAAAGGAGGGGATTCCTGGGACTCAGCCAGCATTCCCAGACAGCCCCATGATCATATCCTATCAGTTTCCCTGAGATGTCAGCATCCTGCTGATCCATCCTTCTCCAAACACAGGACCCAAGATGAGTCAGGCACAGCACAGGCCACATAACATGACAGATGGGATCTCTATAACTTCCACCTCCAGTGAGCTTTCTGATCCCCTGGTGAAGCACAAAGAGGGCTGGCTACATAGCCAGGGCCAGACCCCAGAGAACGAATGGCACACAGAGCCTCCAAAACAGCCCACCAGGTACCTCTATAGCCAGTCCCAGGAAGACATGGTGGCCAGCAGGGGACAGAGCCCAGGATCCATGGAGAATCTATCTACCCAACCCTCCCTTGAATGGAAACTCCTGAGGCAACTCCGCACCTAGCATGGGCCCCAGGGAAGAAGCCCGCAAGCAGAAACAAAGCCTCTCTTCTC